AGTCATTAAAAAGCTTGAGACTACAGAGTCTGCCTTTAGACTAAACCATCCCCTTCTGTTTTAGACATAATGCAGCAGGGCCGAGCTCCAAATGTGGTGAGGAAATACTGTGCTGTGCTATGTATTCTGAATGGTTATTTGAGTCGCTGCTAGAGGGAAGACTCTCCCAAAGCAAAACAGGAAATACTTTTTATTTTTGCTGAGGAAGATGTCGAATGAAAACAGTCGCATACTGCAAACCCAACTGCAGAAAGTCGTGTTTGGTTGACAGTACTTACTTGTACTCTGTTGTTCTAGGCATCAGTCTACTGTTCTTTCATGTCATTGTTTATGATGACACTTGATGCCAGGGGTTTAAGAAATTCTTTGAAAAGGAAAGCTCTATTTTTATTTGCTAAGCAACTTAAAACTGGCTTAATATTTTTCAGGAAACACACTATATCTGATGGCCTTAATTTTTGGAGATCTCAGTGGGGAAACAGTTTGTGGTTCTCACATGATACAAATAGGGCAGCTTTGTTGTATTTGTATGTATTCTTAAAAATAATTTCACTGGTGAGGTCTTGCATTCAAAGGGAGATTGTCATTGGCTTTTTTTACTCTTAGTAACTGACATTGGGCATAATACACTGATAATTTTAAACTTTTATGGCTAGAATTATCTTCCTAATGATGCTCTTATTCAGGAGAGAATATTACTTTTTGGCTAAAAAGTACCCAAATTATTACATTATTATTGGAGGGGATTTCAATGTTGCAATCGATAACTGTTTGGATACGTATCCCTCCTGTGTAGCATCCACACTGAATACCGCACTAAACCTCTTTATACAATGATTTGATCTTACTGACATCTGGAGAGCAACACATCTCATTCAGAAATGTTACACATGGCAGAACAGTAGTGGTTCCCTCCAGTCTCGTATTGACTATTGGCTGATCTCCTCTAAACTCAAAGAAAATGTATGTGTAGATATATTGCCAACAGACCACAAAGCAGTTTCCATTAAAATACCTTTTTCTTCTACAAATCTGCAGAAAGCAATACTTTGGAAATTAAATTTCATTACTATCACACACAACAGCTAAATCTGATATAACTAAATTCATTTCAAAATTTTGGAACAAGGCGCTAATAGAAAATAAGTTTGGCAGAAACTGGGAGGTTTTGAAGTATGAAATTGAGAAATACTTCAGAAAATATGAAAGCTGGTTGGCCAAGTCTAGAAGGTTCGAGGATTTTATTGTCAATTCACCATATGTGCAGGACATACAGAAAATCGAAATACCGTTTCTCTCTCACCTAGTATTGGGTGCCATAACATTTAGGAACTAAAATAGAGTAAAGTACAATAAAAATAGCATAGAATAGAATAAGAACTGGATTGATGTAATTAGGAGAAATCTAAACGTTACAGCCAATAAGCTGTGACTCAAAACCGTGTACAGTCAGTGACAGTAGTGCACACAATAATAGGAGATTGTCAGATGGTTCACAGCGTTCAGTATCCACACAGCCTGGTGAATGAAGCTGTTTGTAAGTCTGGTGGAGTGGGCCTGAAGACTCTGATACCTTCTCCCTGAAGTCGGAGTATGCGGGGTGGGAGGTGTCATCAGCAATGCTGGTGACTCTGCGGATGAGGCGGGTGTTAAAAATGTCCGTGAGGGAAGGCAGAGGGGGGCCGATGATCTTGCTGGCTGTATTCACTATGCGTTGCAGGGTCCTTCTGCAGGAGACAGTACAGGCTCCATAAAATGTATTTTACCAATTTGATAGTCTCACGGATGTCAAGGTCAGCACAGAGGAGCACATCATGGGGGGGTTCTTCTGGGAATCCACCACAAAGCACATGAAGGATTGCCGGGCTCAATCCACCCAGGCATGGCCCATTGTGTAAAAAATGAATGACCAATCATTCAGCCAGCGACAACAAATAAGTCACTCTCCAAAAGGTAATGGGAGGTGGAGGGAATCAGATGATCTTGTTCACCCTCAAAAAAGAAGACTTCCTCCTGGGGCTTAAAAGAGACAAACAGAGACCATATAGATAGTAGTATAATGCACATAAATATTTGTCATACAGCATTAGTAATGGACATTATTGATCAGCGTTGGCACACAACTGGGGGTCAGCAGTGTGAAGAGCAATGGGCTGAGCCCCTGCGGAGCCCCTGTGCTCAGCGTGATGGTCTTGGAGATGTTGCTGCCGACCCACACATTTTGTGGCCTCCCTGTTAGAAAGTCCAGCACCCAGTTGCAGAGAGAGGTTTTGAGTTCCAAGTGTAGGCACACAACTTGGAGAGAGAGGGGACGCTGTGTTCGTTTGCACCACCATCTTTCCTACAGAGAAGGTTATATGAAGAAACTCTTCTTACAAAGATATCAGCATTAACCAATAAAGACCCTGATAAATGATTAACTAATGAAAAAAGCACACTAAATGAGCTTTAAAGAAAACTAGATGACCTCTATAAAATAAGAGCTGAAGGCACCTTTATTTGCTCCAGAAGTAGGTGGCTTGAAGCCGGTGAGCAAAATTCTGCATATTTCTTTAAACTTGAAAGATCACACTACAGAAATAACTTTATTGCGCAGCTCTTGGACAACAATAAAATTATTAAAGAGCCAAAAGAAATCACTGCATACTGTTATGCATTTTATAAGCAACTACTGTATATAGCTCTGGTTTTAATGAAGATGCATGCAACACATTTTTTGTCTCGCTTCCACAGTACAAGTCACTAAGCTTATCTAACAAAGAGTACTGTGACAAAGCCCTGTTTTTAGAGGAAGTTGTAGATTCTATAGCGCACCTAAAAAATAATAAATCTGGAGCTGACAGCATCTTGTCTGAGATTTATAAGATGTTCTCAAATCTTCTTGCTCCTTTTTTTGCTTAAGGTTTTTTGTGAAGGTATTGACAATCGCAACTAGATGTCTAAAATGTACAGTTGTTTCAACCTAGACGTTTTCCAATTGCAAATCACCAAAATGTTGCTAGTTCACTGTCTATAAAAAAACATAGCCTACTACTGTATGCCTTATCCATTAATTGAACCGTAGCGACATCTTGTGACGTTTCTTTGAAAGTGCGTCTTCTGACGTTGTCCTGCTCTTCTTTACGTCACCAAGCGTTAGCAGGAAGCCCTGAAACCAAGGCTTCAACATGGCGGAATACACACATCCACGTGAGTTTCATAGAACACAACTATAACCCCAAAACTGTAGCTGTCAAAACGCAAACACATATTTATGGCAAGCGATAGTGTTTGTTGCATATGTAGTTGAGGAATTTTGTTAGTAGCGTCAGTACGATGCGACAGCACTGTTGCTGCCAAGCTGTAAAGTTGCAACGTTAACGCAGAATAACTGAAGAAAGTAGTGAATGTAGTCTCCTTCAGTTTCGCCAGAGTGCGCATCTTCGTGGCTCTTATATGCAGCTGTAATCGCGATTTTTCTTTGACAGAGGGCGAAGAAGCTACTGAGGTGATGCCAGAGCTCTCTTGCGACGATGATGACAACACTGAAGATGATGAAGAACAGTGGCAGTGGATGGAGGAAGACAGTCAGCAAGTTGCTTGTCTGTTTTGTGACAGGTGAGCTGACACTGCACAGCTGGAGGAAACAGACCAGTTAAAAAAGATTCTACACATTTTCCAGTTTGAAAGAAACTTTTCAGAACACCTTTAAATATACTTTATTTCCACGTGACAAATTCTTGCATCTCCACTTGTAAACTGAAGTGAGTGTTTATTTTGTACAATGAATGATGTGACACCTCATCAACTTTAAATAATGTGCTGCTGTATTGTTTACAACATAATACATGGCCAAAGATCATTTTCAGCTTTAATTTTGATTATACATGCCGTCTCAACTTTTTTGATTTGGGGTTGATAAGGATTAACTAGTCATCCATTTAAATGTGAGTGGACGTCCAGCGTAAATCTACATGATGGCATAATACATTTTTGTCTGTGGTTCTGATTGTTGTTTTCATCCTTTTGGGGTTTTCTGTTGAATTGATGATGATTGTGAGATGAATTTTATGAGAGATGTTTGCAGCCATCCAAGTGTTAGTGGTCAGTTATTTGACCAAAAAATCCCAATTGTCTGTCTTCATTTTCTATTTTAAAACTCAAAATCAGCAAAGCGAAGATAATTTTTGATTCAGTCTGCATAGCCACAACTAAGTCAGACCTCATTACAGTTTTTCCTACTTAAAAACCAGAAGACTGTGACATAAATCAGATATAATAGTAGTAATCCAAACTCGAGAGTGACAACACGTTTAGTAGGGCTGTAATTGTTCATAAAATTCAGGGTGGACAGTTTTTATGTTTGAGGACATGCATACATCTGTAATGTTTTTGACTCACACCACATTTTGTTATCAAAACTGATTTTCCTACCTTTCCTCTCAGGCTGCTGAGTTCTGTGCCTGCCACCCTGCAGCACTGCACAGCTGAGCACCACGTCAACCTTGTAGACATAATAAGGAAACACAGTAAGTAGACGGTGATGGTATGTGCCTCACCCAGGAATCAGGAGATGAATTGACTCTGTTTTTTTTTTTTCCTCATTAGATTTAGATAACTATGGTTATATAAAGATGATCAACTTCGTACGGTCAACAGTAAGTACATAGCTCTATATGTTAAAGCTACAGTATGTAACTTTTAAAAAATACTTTTGTTGTAGAAATTTGCTCCAAAACTTGTGTTAATGTGGAGAGTTGCTGTCGAAGCCACCTGTGACCCAGACTCATTAAACAGCACTGGCAGCAGTGTGGAGAGACTAGCTTCTAAAAGGTTTTGAGCAGGATTGACCTCTTTAACCAGTCAGAGATTTTCAGTTATTTCTGCCTGATCAGTGGATTTTGTTGCATTTTCATTTATTGTAATTTCATTATGATAAATATCTAAAGAGCGTGGCAGAGTGTAGCAGATCGTGGTAGGGCAGGGAGAGGGAGCATTGAGCAGAGTGGTTTGAATTGGAGTTTCATGCTAGTACTACCTTAAGTTACATACTGTAGCCTTAAGTGGCAGGTCTCAGATATGATTTAGTTCTGCTGAGTCAGGAGCTCTGAAACATTTGCATAACTATAATCAAGTACCTACAGTACATTTGAAAGAAACTTGCAGAAGGATGGAAGATTTCTTTCTTCAACAAATCTGTGTTTATAGAAATGTGAGCCATCATGTCTGACCGGGCTGCCAGATGCTCCTTTACCCTGGGAGAGCGAAGACTTCCTGCGGCCGGTCCTACAGGACGACCTCTTGCTGCAGACAGGTACAGAAACTCCTTTAATTTTTATCACACAGACTTTTGGTTTTGGTTTTTTGGTAACAGGCCGCAGTTTCAGTAACATTTGCAACAGATTTGTCTCATTAGAAAATTTTTTGGATGCACAAAGTACCTGAAGAAACTGCCTTAAAAAGTCACACATGCACATTTAGGCTGGTATGTGATGGTTCTTGTTTTCAGTTTATCCTCAGTTCTGAGGGTTCAGCACACTGCAGTCAAACTAGTCTGTACAAAGTGTCATCAGACACATCCAAAGGCAAAAGGAGGGGTGAGAGGTGCTGAATTGTAGAACTTCCATTAAGGAAGGTGCTCTTGGACTTGGTTTTACATGTGAAATGTATCAGAAGTAGCTGTGTGGAAAATGAGAAGAGAGCTTGATAGAGAAGTTTAAACCATTGTTACTTTCTTCCCTCCGTGCTCCTGCCCAGTCGCTGTGTAAAGTGCACGTGCTTGTCTGACTGTTGACTTTAAAAAGTTGTAGAAGTGGCCGGAAGCAGCCTCCTGAATTCCAATGTGAAAAATGTGTTTGAGGAAGGGTCTTCAGATGCTGTTCAGTGATCCAATACATTTGATAGTAGTCAGGACTCCATGATTATGCAGCCTAACAGCCGTGCAGTGAGACTACTAAAAACCCAGCTGGAACAGCCCAGTCTGCCTTCCAGTATTTGTCTGGCCAGGTTAATGCAAATGGTAGATAGTGAATATGAATTCACAGCTTTCTCATTGAAAAAAAGACAAGGAGCAGGGTTTAGTATGTGTGTAGGTTCAGATTAGTGGGGTGGAGAGAGAGAGATTTTCCATTTGAGAAAAGGCCACAGCTTGTTCAGCCCCAGCCTATCTTAGGACCGAGTTCCCTGGCTGTGGTTTGTCAGTGTTCCTCCTCTGCTGTGCATTTCTCCCTGTGTGATTGTCGATCGACTGTACGCACAAACAAGACCTAGAATCAAGACCTTGCTTTCTGTTGATGTTTAGAATTGATAGTCTACAATAAATGTGAGTATGGCGTTGAAAATTGGGGAAATACATACATAAGCTCACTTCAACCATTGTATATATTACAAAAAAGAGCGATAAGAATTGTGCATAAGATGGGGTATAGGGATCACACCAATGTAGCTTTCATACAGTCTAAATTGTTAAAATTTTTTGATTTAGTGGGATATAAGACTGCTGTGTTTATGTATAAAGCCAGGAACAATTTATTACCTGGTGGAATTCAAAAACTATTTAATGAAAGGGAAGGGGGATACAATTTAAGGGGTCAGTTAAATTAAAAAATTCATGCTATACGTACAACCAAAAAAAGATTCTGTGTTGGTGTAAAACTATGGAATAATTTAAGTGTAGACATAAAAAATAGTAATAGAATTGACGAGTTTAAACATAAATATAAAGGTATGTGTCAATCAAGATATATGCAAGAACAGGCTCAATGATTAATTAGAATTTTTTTAGTATATTACTTGTGTGGTGTGGAAGAGAATTATTTATGTAGAGATACTGTTTGCAAACCAATGATGTAAGATGATGTCATGGGGTAGGACTGGATAAGTCTGACTTCTTCCTACTCCATTCAAGCATGTACTAGGTATAAGCAAATTGATATTGGATTAGCATTTGTTGGATATGTGTAAAATTATGTGTGTTGACATATCAACTGTCTTTACATGCTTGAAAGAATAAATCAAATCAAATCAAATCAATGTGTGGCAGTAACATAGTTTTCTGTTTTGCATTAACCTCGCAGTATTAAACCATACAGACTAAATAAAATAGCACCTGTTTTTTGTTTAAATGTTATAGTGTTACTGGCAGTTATATGGTCAGTTAGTGTTTTTATTTAGTGATTTAATTTCATTAAAATCCACTGGAGAGCTTCTGGATAAGTACAGTTAAAATATAATAATATAAATAACAAAACCAAACATAAAAACACAAGAAACATTAAAACAAATAATAAGATGAGCAGAAGCAGGAGACCAAAAAGTAGTTTTTTCATTTTGGAACCTGTGTTTGGTCACTGCTGAATTTCATTTTATTTTATTTTATTTTTTTGTGTACAACCTCTGTGTTCCTGGCAGACCCTGAGGAGCTTTGTGACAATGAGGGGTTGAGGGTGTTAGCGTGCCCGCTGTCTGGGGCTGAATCCCATGATGCTCTGCTGCAGAGGGCACGGACCATGGAGGAGAGAGCTCTTCGCTCAGAAGAGGCGCTGGCCAGAGCCATGGATGACCTGCACAAACTGAAGTCAGTGACATTTCTGCATTTTCACCTTTTCTATCACCGCTAGGTATGATACCACTGGCCAATTTCTTTCTTTCCTGACAGTCCTCTGTAAATTTTCTTCTTCAGATGTTCTTCCTCCTATATGTACTTGGTGTGTTGTTTTATTTCTGCACTACCTCACTGCGGCCAGCAGGGGGACACAATGAACCCAGTATTGCAGAAACAAAAACTAGAATACCTTGTGGAAGAAGTTTGGAGCAAGGGGAAACATAAAAAAGGGAAGGGAAAATTCCACTGCAGCATGGAGGTTAACGTGAGGAGGTGGGGTAGGAAAGGGGGCAGTAAGGGAAAAGTACAGGAACAAGTGGGGATGGGAGGAGTTGGAAGAGAATAAGAAAGATGAATGCCTCCCATCTCCTCCATTTACTGCTACCTCCTGCATGAAGGTTGTTTGTGCTTGCTACTTTCTGCGTGCTGCTTTTTTTTGTCCCCTGTCCTAATATGAGAAGTTAAATGCAGGTGTGTCTGGTGTTCTTTCAGGCTGCTGGCTCAGGGGTTGGTGCTGAACACAGAAAGTAGCAGATCTAGTAACCTGGGCAGTGTGGCAGAGCTCCGAGAAGATGAGGACGAAGCCTACTTCAGCTCCTACAGCCATTATGGCATTCACGAGGAGATGCTGAAGGTCTGAGCTGTGCAAACACACACACACACACACACACACACACACTGAGTAGGCCTGCAGGTCTCTTCAGAGCCCTGTAAGCCACTTCCCCCTTGGATGCAGCAGTCTCTGCAGTGCAAAAGTGGGTTCATCAGCGTACGTCTTGGCTGAGAGGTTTCAGTGTAGCATGTAAATGAAAGTGTTCGTCTTTATGCGCACATTGATAGTGAGAACAAGGCATTTTCTCAGAAGTGACAAATCAGCAATAAGTGCTAAGCTCTCATGCGAGACACCAGCGGTGGCACTACACGGCAGATACTCAGAACATGGAAATTAATTTTTATATTCTGTGTGTGTATGTGGGTGGAGGGGGGGTCAGCGCCATCTCCTCCCTTCCTAATGTACTTACCGCAGTGCTTAGATATATTCCTGGTGGCTGCCCTGATTGGTGCTAAGCACTGTTAAGTTTTGCGTCATGTGTATGTGCGTAAGACTGTAAAACCCATCATAGCCTCAGGAGGGGCCGAGAACACGTGATGGGAGCTTTGCGGTAGAATGTGGTCAACTCTTTGAAGTGCATCACCTACGTATGACGCACTCTGCGTGAGTGTGTGTGAGAGAAACCGTATGTAAGAGGGTGTTGTCTTAGATTGATGTGTGTCACTTGTCAACTTTGAATTTGTTGTCGATAGCGCAATGCTTGGAAACCATTAGCACAGACAGACAAAAAGTAGACCCTGAGTTTTGAGGTACTGTATGTCCGTGTCCACATCAACACAAGGGTGTGTGGAAAGCATGATTTGGCCTTAAGGCATGTTAATGTCATTTCAAATGATTGAGTAGCTTTCTCTCCAGAGAGGAGGGGCAGGGCTTTGTGGTCATACTGTTTGATTGGCAGCTTAATTAGCAAGTCCTGACCTGACCACCACTGGTAAAATACCAGAGGTTTTCTAGTTGTATTTATCTGATAAAATTACTCTTAAATTTCCATGAATCCCCCGCAGTCGGTTGTTATCTGACCCTGTGTAGAAAAAGCTTTACCTGCCTTGCTCCAATTTTTTTTTTTTTTTGGTAAGGGGGCGGGTGGCAATATGATAAGGCTTGTGTCGATTCAGCTTTATACCACAGCATATAGTAAGCATCCTAATAAAAGTAATCATAGAACTTGTGGAATGTAAATGATCTGCAGAAGATTTGATGTCTCTCCCTTCCCTTTATTCCACTGCAGTTGCTGGTGTGTATAGTTTTTATTTATTTGTGTGTTTTCTCTGCAGGAGAAAAGTGCGCACAGAGAGTTACCGTGACTTCATGTACAGCAACCCAGATGTGTTCAAAAACAAGGTGAGCCAGCAAAACGGGTGTAAATAGATAAATATTTATGAATTTGTGTGTATAGGTATGTGAAAGGTAGCTGGCTGAATGTACAGCAAAGCCTATTAACAGGAACAGGTATGTGCTTTTTGCAGGACTGACATTAATAAGGTAATGGTGTCTGATTTAAAACATCGTGACTTCATTAGCTCCTCAAATGACGACTGCAGAGTACTGATAACAGCAGTCCACCACCAAAGCCGTAACGCCCCCTCCTATTCCCAAACTCTTCAGGCTCACCCCCACCCCTCTTGTTTCTTTTGCTTTTAGTTGCAGGAAGCAGTGGCCTATATCATGACCATCTATTATATGGGCAGCTGCTGGTTAGTGCTGGGTTAAGGCTGTAGAAGAGGGGGGCAGGTTGTGTTGATGGGAACGTACATTATCCGTGTCAGAGTGAAGCGGTTGGCAAAGAGGGAAGTGTCATGTTATATAGGAAGCAGCAGATAGAGAACAGAACATGATATTCTTGTTTCAGTACTGTTTGGATGGGGGAAGGTAGCCTAAATGTGGTGCAGTACAGAAAGCTGGAGAATGGAGCAAGGAGTTAGTAGTTGTGTTGTGTCAGCAGTGTGTTGGTGGCCCTCTGCGAACCCATAAAGGCAGCAGGATGCCTACAGGGAAGTTAAAGTTGCCTTAAATAGAGACCCACAGGGTTACATATAGATGGGTGTATTGTCACCACAGCTGTGCTGCAGTCATTTAACACCAGTTGGTGGTGGAGATGAACAAATTAGCTGTAACCTATGGGAACCTGAAATAGAGGTGATTCAAAACTCAGTCAACAGCAATAGGGTACAGAGTGAAAAAGTAACATGAGGAACCTGAGGTTTTAGGCGCAGTTTGATCAGTGAAGGGCCTAAGAACAAGCTCAGCAGCAATCGTGTTAGATGTTTGATTAGGCTTAGTAAACCCCTACTTCAGCAGCCCTGCCATAACAGCAGCTAGCCAGGAATAAGTAACCCAACTGTTCAGTGTTTTTGTAGGCTTTTGAACTAAAAAGCGCAAATGAATTGGGATGTTTGTGGAATGTTAACATTGTGTTGGCCAAGTGCAGAGGGTATTATTTCTGTTTATTGTGTATTTAACCGGGTAATCTCAGTGAGACAGTCTCTCATTCTCAGTAGAGCCATGATAGCATGCCACTTACTGGAGGTAAATGGTGGCCATGGGTCATCGGACCATGGGTAACCCTGGGCCATGTAAGAAAAATACAGGTTATGTGATACTTTTAGCAAAGCTCATTGTACTTTGATAACAAATTGTTGGGTGGCAGCATGCTTTCCCTCTAACTGTAAAAACCAACTGAAGCTGTCTAGTAAACTTGTTCACACCACATTGTATTAATTAGTTATTCTAATAAAGCTGCCTCAATTTTCAGCATATTTTTTCAGCAAGAAATCACCTTTTTCTTGAGAGTATTTACAGGTGAACAGAGCACATTTCTGACAACCTTCAAACAAGACTTAAGCCTCTTTTAGACAGAGATTTCACTATATTGGCAATAATCTGGCCATTCTTTATGGCCAGATTATTTTACACTGGAAATTACAATTACAATTTTACACTGGAAAAAAAATCAAACAAAAAAAACAAACAAATGGCATAATGCTCCCCTGTTGTTTTTAAACAGATCCCTGTATCCCAGTTCAATGTAATGCCCATCTTTTGCATGTCTTGCACAGATACGACATGATTTGGACTCGACATTAAAATTTAGCAGCTCCCCCCAAAATCTGATTGGCCACCCCTTGCTAGTGTTAAAAAGTGATGCTTGTCAATATTGATGAATGAAAAATGAGAAACAGTAACACATTATTGCTTTAAATACAGTTAACATTTTTCTGGTGCGTTATAATCGATATTGGTCAGATATTTGCATCCATGTCTCTTATTGTGTTGTGGAGTACTTGGCATGATTCAAGGAGGGGAACCACTCTGCAGCAGCCATGTCCCTGGCTGGACGTAAATAAGGAGCACAGCCAAAGTTATCTAAAGAAAGCATTGTGTGTGTCTCATTTTTACACAAATTGAACTGTTTGATTCTTTTTAATATGTATTTTATTATTTCATAGAACTAGGGGTTTAATAAACCTTTTGCCTGTATTTCAAATGTGCCACTCCTCTGAGTCTGTGAGCCAGCCTGTCCAAAATCTTCCAAATCTGCCCCTGATGCATTCACCTGCTATCCTGCAGGTGGTGCTTGATGTGGGCTGTGGGACTGGTATACTGTCCATGTTTGCTGCCAGAGCTGGGGCCAAGGAGGTTATATCAGTCGACCAATCAGATATCATCTATCAGGCCATGGACATAGTCAGGTGAGATGCATACTCTACACTTTTCCCTTAAGTATATCTGTCAGTCACATGACCCTTGCCATCAGAGGGTAGACAATGTTAAACCCTATGTGTGTAGCTGAAGATTGTGGGAGTAGAGGTTTGTATGACCTACAGTCACCTTTTATTTGTTGCAACTCGTTGACTTCAATTGTACCGCAGTTTGTCGCAAGGCCATAATGCACGATTTACACCTGCAGTCTGACTCATTCACCCCTCGCCTCTTCTCCCCTGCAGTAGATACAGTCCGAGGCCTACAGTCACCCACATGCTATCTCACACACACACACACATGTAGATGACCCCCTATTGGTATCTTTTAACAAAGTCCTTAGTCCAATTTAAGATGCTGTGTGTTTCCAGTTTTCTAGCAGCTGCTTCACTGCAGTAGAGTCCATTTACCTCCACCAGAGCCTCCACTGTCCCTGTGTCTACCTGCAGCCACTGCCTCCATTACACTCCAGCATTTTTGAGTTAGGGGCTATTATGACTGCTATTATTACCGTTATGTAAGAGAGTGTCATATGAGCAAAACAACGGGGTTTGCTGAAGGAAAAGGACGTTTTAATTTTACAGCCCACTGACTCGCTGTAAGAGTGTGTGTTATCATGCGGGCGATGTGGCAGGTTTGCCAGCGGTGAGGATTCAGCTAAAGAAAGATATTGTCACCCCCACCCCCATCTTAAACACTCACACACAACTGTACACACACAGTACAGAAATGTGCAGAATCTGTCCCTTTTAAATCTACTGCTGGCTTGGGTTGTGAGTTTTAAGTTCCTGTTTGTGTGTGTGTGTGTGTGTGTGTGTGTGTGTGTGTGTGTGTACGTGAGTGTGCATGCATGCATGTGAGGCTGTTCTGTGTGTGTGTCTGTCACTTTCTCTTGATGTTAAGTTAATATCAGGATTGTAATTAAAGTGGCTCCTGTTGGTTGGGCAGGAGCATCCATCTCCCATCTCCACTCCGTCACCGAAGTTTAAATGAAAAGCTAGATGTGACTTCCTTCCTTCACAGTCACTTCCTTAATGGATAATGTCGAGATACTTTTTTAAATGGCTGGAATTGATGGATTATCCAGTAGAATGCTTTGAAATGTGACAACAAAGTAGGAACAACTAGACAAGATTTTACATAGATGTCTGGCATTCAACTTTAAATGGTGATATAAACTAAAAATGAAGAGTTTGTGGATGTTTATGAGCCATTATGGGGTGACGAGTGCCATCCCATAATGCCAGTAACACACAGTATGAGGGCATGTAATCCAGGACGGTTAGAAAAGTGTAGGTTTTAATGGTTTGTGTTGAAGTGTCTATTTTCAGTTCCTGCTTAGAAAAACAAATTTCCTGAAAGAAAGACAACAACAAACGATCACCTACTGCAGACTGTTGTGTTGTTAATTACATTTTTAAATTTTGAATGGGAAAATATCTGGGCTTTAGCTGGGCTACTCAAGGGCAGTCAGAGGCTTGTCCCAGAGCTACTCCTGCATTGTCTTGGCTGTAAGCTTCTAGTCACTGTTGTGCTGAAAACGCACAATGAAGTGCACAAAAAGCGAAAGGATCTGTACTTTTTGAAGTGGCCGTATGACAGCGGTTATTAAAAATCTTAATGATCTTGGAAAGTTAGCATCTTTAGCAAGAACAGATATCCACGATGTGAGAGAAAAAACAAATGTGTATGACAAAGGCCTCCATTTATCATCAAAAGACAGAAACCTTTATTAAAGTCTGGGTTCCTATGATGAAACGTACAGCCCTGCTCCCCCCGTCTCTCGTACACACATCCACATACATACACCCACACACCCCTACACCCCTACAAAGCTGCACAGATACTGACTCACTCCCCTGAGTCCCGACATTGTCCTCTAAATTACCCCAATAATGAGATTACAGTGTTTCCCTTGTGTGAAAGGTGGGGTGTGTGTGTGTGTGTGTGTGTGTGTGTGTGTGTGTGCGTTGGGGGGGGGGGGGGGTGGCGGCGAAAAAAAAAATGGGGGGGGGGGGGGGGGTTGGTCAATTCTGCAAGGAGGAGATAGTGATAGCAGTGCAGCAGAGAGGGGAGAGAGAGTTCAAGATAAGGATCGCTGCTACAGAAATGCACTCTGGGCCACTGTGAGTAATTGTTCTGTCCTCAGTAACATTACCTGTCATGATAATGGAATATTCACAGAGATTGATACCCAGACTGACTGCTCTGAAAGGAAGGATCATTTAAACAGCAGCACCAATCTTACAGTTCCCACCTGAGCCTGTCAGCTCTGCAGGCACACAGTTTCCCCTGGCTCCGGAAGGACTGGAAATATACAGAGCAAAGAATATGCTGCTGTACATATCTTGACAAGTTTGGAGTTTTGTCGCCCAAAAGACAAAGGGAGATTGATTGTTACCAGCTATGTAGATATACTGTATACTCTTCATCATCCATTTTATAAAATTTGTTTGTAGTTAATGTGACTAAGGTTCTTGTCAGTTGACTAGTTACCTAACATAAAACCAGGCCAGTGAGGCTTAAAGCTGCCCTCATCACTATCTTTATATTAACAATGGGTTAAATGACTGTTTAGTGTGAAAAGGACCTTTTGATGTGATGAACCTAAAGACACTTATCATTCAACTCTTCAGTTTTCATCGTCTCTCCGCAGCGTTATCAGGTCATTGTTTTTGTTTTTACAGCCTGCACCTTGACTGTTTTGCTTCACACTCACTACTCTTATCAGCCCCAATTCCAGTAGTTGCAAGCAGCTGTTTTCAGAGAAAAGGCTCTGATAAACCCGCTGTGTGATACTGTACCTGCCCAACAACAAACAGCCAAAGTTGACAACCAGTGAACACATTAGAGCATTCAGCAGCTTTATAATCATATATTTCCCTCAGGAGTTGGTATAGACTGTTTGCTGATAAGTTCATAATGTCAGCTTTAAAAGGTGATAATAGGGTAGTTTTGTTTACAGGTTCTGCAGCCTCCTTTTCATATGACAGAATTTAATTGCCATAGTTGAGTTTTGGAGTCTCCACATTTTTGAGCAGTGACTTAGCATCGTAGTAAAATTACAAGCTCTACAGTTTTTGAGCCATTGGTTTGTTCAGTGTTCATTGATGGGAAATGTTTGATTGTGCTTCTAGGTCTTCTGACTCTTGCATGTTTACCACAGGTCCAACCACCTGGAGGACAAGATCACTCTGATCAAAGGCCGCGTGGAAGACATCAGCCTCCCTGTGGAGAAGGTGGACATCATCATCTCAGAATGGATGGTTAGTACATATTTTAGTAGCAGTAGTTTGAGGGAACACAGTCAGTCAGGTCAAAGCCTTCTACTTCTAAACCCTCATTATATCAGAAAATGAAATATGAAAGTTAAATTCCAACTCAGATGTGTTAATTCAGGTTGATAGCTGAGAATATGAATAAGGAAATGCAAGTGTGAGCTTAGTAAGTTTCAGTAGCTTGTCTTGACCATAATGCTCCTGTGTGATTTCCATGAAGACAGCAAAAGAAGGAAAACACAAAGGCAACATATACTCAGTAGAATTCAGTTCAGGAAAGGGACCATAAACATTTCAAACTTAAATGAATTAGTGATTTAAAATGAATCAGTATGAGGGTTCATTTACCTCCATGTAGGCGTTTGACTTCCGAGACCTTGTATGATGGTTTTATTAAAAGCATTTGTAACATGACTGCTGTCGACAGCTTGAGTCAGACTCAAACCTCCTTCCTGTCATTTATGGCTTTATGGCTTTTCAGGACATTGATGGAGTATTTAGTGGGCCTGAATAAAACGGCACAGGTAGATGAATGGTTGGAAGAGGAGATGTGTATGAATGTGATTTAATACTGATATATGGTTAAATCCTGGTCACGGCCTCAGTATATAACTGGTACCCAATGCAATGCCATGCATGCATCAACACACCTGCAAAAGGCATTATAATTGTTAGTGCAGCACTGGTGTAGGTAATAGCAATAACAGTGACACTGGGTGTTTGTGTAAACTATACCAGCCAAATCAGCTAGCACAGTGCCATGATAATGAAAACCTTAAATGGGCGGCAACACTTATTATTGTTACTTGTACCACCTGTGTTTTGCAAGTTAAAATGTCCATAATATATGAGCTATTATAAACCTGAATTTAGCAAAGAGAATATGAAAGTTCATCACGCTGTGTCGATGGTTTGAACAGGGGCGTCTTTTTTGGAGGTACACACTGTATTTACCTGCACACATTCTTGTTTTGTTTGGCTAAAAAGTTGCTTAAGTCGTTTTTGATCTGACTTTACCAACTGTGGTAATTCATGATGGATAACCTTAGATGACTGCAGCTAACTTGGATGACGGCGTCAGACAGCAAATGACACACTGATCTCATTTTGGGAGCTAACGCTAGTTAGCAAATGACAAATGCTGCAGATGAATCAATTTCTGTCCTGTCTGTGCTCAAAGTGAACACTGGTTGCAGTCGAGACATCTGCAGCCACCACTGTATGTAGCTGTATGGGATAGTAATTATTTTTTAAAATTAACTTATAGATGTATGTGGTATATATATCTATGATTGATAATGAGCGTGATGCTCCAAGCATGGCCTATTTACCCAAGATTCAACACAGCTCTGTCAACTTCAGATTCTCTATTGCAAACCATAATTTACTAATTTGAAATTTATAGCACAGATTAATTTTTATCAGGTGGTGGCAAGTAGTTTTTCTAATTTTCCTGAGGTCATAGTCTAACTTTGAAGTCAGTCAGTGACAGTTCTTAAATAAGTCAGTCTTTATATTCATACTTTGGCTATCAAGCTTATTGTTGGAGACCATACTAGGCCTCAACATGCTGTTTTTTTTATTTTTTATTAATCTTTACTAGCTATTGGAATACCATTTGTATTTTTTACCTTTCTTGCCTGGATCATAAATTATATCTATGGATAAATCAAAAGTGTTGACCTATTCTGAGACTTAAATGTTTGGTGTAAAAAAAAAAATCTTGGAAGCTTATTATCTAAGCAACAAACTCCTTGAAACATCCATGCTTGTACCCAAAATGTAGATGCTCAGATTAGTCCTTTAGAAGCCACTGAAAATGCAGACTCCAAGGTGCCAGCTGCAGTGATGCATGTTTTAAACATAGCTTAAACAGGGCTAAACTCGACCAATGGCTCCTCTGAATACCTAACCAGGAAGAGCAGTCTTCCTTCCCCTTGATGCCCATTTATCAGGGAGATTCTCTTTGGCGATACAGGCAGGATGGCCAAAGTTGAACGCACTGCTGAAGTCATCCTTAATTCATGAGCACCCCGTATCTGTCCCCCCTCCACCTCCCCCATCCATCGTAAAACCCCAGGGTCATGAGCAGGGGTCACCAGCCAGATCCTTCCCATCGTCTCACCAAGGAAATTGAAATTCGTGGGTGACGTGCCGGCGGAACGGTGAAGGATAGGGGATGTAATCTTTGATGACACTGGCTGTTAGAGTGCTAATAAATCTAAGAATCCTCCAGTCACTTCTCATCATTGCAGCAATGGGAGACATTTCTCAGAGTGGTCAGGACTTCAAAAGCTGCCCTCCAATCTGCCTTTATGAAATGAAAAGATGACAATTGTCACAGGAGTAGACTTTCTGACCAGTGTAAATGGGTTTAGACTGTATTAAACTAATGGCTTTTTTATAGCCAGGTAGTGGCTTATTATATCAGAGAGATTCTGGATAGATCATCGCTCTAGTATATATTTTTATTTTTCCTCAGGTGCCCCTTTTTCAGAGTATGTCATAGAAGCCCTCTGTACTGTATTTTAAGGGTTTTTTAAATCCACATACTTTTCCTTCTCTTACTTTCCACACCACTGAATACATAGAATGTACACCGATCAGCCAAAACATTATGACCACCTGCCTAATACTTACTTTACACAGGAGTCAGTGTGGCAGTTGGTTGGCACTCCTGTCGCTCTGCAGCTCACTGTGAATCTTCTGTGAATCCATTTGCTTCCATAGTTCTACTGTCAGGAAGAGCACAGAGGTGCCTACAATTCAGTGAAAAACTTCTGTAAAAGGAGTGAAAGCTGTGGTTGTGAGGACAAGTTAGAATTTTTTAGACTAATTCAACAGCCTCACCAGTCTAGGTGTGATATCACCACTACAGCCCCTGATTCTTTCTCTTCATAGAGACCAATGGACAGTAGTTCTCATTTTCAAACTTTTTAACAAAGATTCAAATAACATTTAATCTTTTGAACATTACAAATGGAATGTTTAATTTACAGTAGATCAATCTCATTATCAGTGAACCTTGGGTGTCCATGACCCTGTTGTGTTCACTGTCTGTCCTTCCTTAGACACTGTTGGTAGGTACTAACCACTGCAGACCAACAACACCCACCAAGACCTGCAGTCTGTTAGATGCTCTGACCCAGTTGTCAGCCATCACAGTTTGGACCTTGTCAAAGTCACTCACATCCTTACACTTGCCCATTTTTCCGGCTTCCAACACATCAACTTTGAGGACTGAATGTTCTCTTGCTGCCTAATATACCCCATGCACTGACAGGTGCCACTGTAACAGACAGTCAGTGTTATTCACTTCACCTGCCAGTGGTCATAATGTTATGGCAGTTCAGTGTAAATTCTGCTTGTTACAGTTGTGTGTAGGAAGGGGTAGTCCCATGTGGGGATGCAAGATTGAGCCCCTCATTAATATCTGACTCTCTAACCTTTAATTACAAAGCCTTTTATTAAAAATGTATTGGCTGTAATGCACTTGGTTTAACCATGGGTGTCTCCAAATCAACCACAATTTAAGAATAATTACTTGACATGTACTGTGTACATACCAGACAGTCAGTGTTATCCCCTTCCCCTGCCAGTGGTCATAATGTTATGGCAGTTCAGTGTAAATTCTGCTTGTTACAGTTGTGTGTAGGAAGGGGTAGTCCCATGTGGGGATGCAAGATTGAGCCCCTCATTAATATCTGACTCTCTAACCTTTAATTACAAAGCCTTTTATTAAAAATGTATTGGCTGTAATGCACTTGGTTTAACCATGGGTGTCTCCAAATCAACCACAATTTAAGAATAATTACTTGACATGTACTGTGTACATACATGTCAAGTAGCAGCAAACTGAGCACCTTTCACACAGCTACAATCCAGTTATTCAAGGAAGAAAGTAAAATATAACAGTCTGCTGAGTCTGTTATCACTGAACAGTGTAATTAATGTGAAATTTGTAGAAATAATAGGCCTAAAATCCATGCTCTGTGGAGAGGGAGGGAGGGAGGGAGGGAGGGAGAGAGAGAGAGAGAGAGAGAGAGAG